GGCCCGGCCCGCCGGCTTTTTGCAGCGTCTGATTTCCCGGCTCGCCCGCGCCCTTCCTCCGCCTCCTCCCAGAGCCGCGCGCAGTCGGCCGCGCCCCCCAGGCCCGGCTCTACCGCAGCGGCGCGGGGCAGCGCGCCTGGACCCGCCGTCCTCCCGCAGCCGCGCCCTGCTCCGAGCCGGACCCTAGCCCGGGATGACTCGCTGTTCATGCCCTGCGGCGTTAGGCGGGAACAGCACGACGCCCTGCGCCGTCGCGGCTGACCCTGTCCGCCACGTCTGTGCTGAGGCCCCGGGCCCGCCACGGCCGGGCTTCTGCGGCGGTTTCCCCACCCGTCCCCGCACTGCCGCTCCGCGGGGCGCATCCCGAGAGGCGCACGCCGCCCGCCGCCTCTTGAGGGCCCCAGGCCCCGCGCCCCTCTCCCGGGACAGGGGCGCGGGGACCAGCGCGGGGCCGCCGCACGCCCAACGCCAGCCTCCGCGGCCGCGCGCCCACGACTCTGGGGCGCCGGCTCCGGGCGGTGATTGGGCGCGGACCGTGACGTCACTGCGCGCGGCACTAGGGGCCTCCCGGTCTGGGCCGGGTGCGCGCTGCTGAGTAGCGGGAGCGGGGCGCGCGGCTGGCGCTCCTCTGAGGCGGCTCGCGGGGCCCGCGGCCCTGCCCTCCCGGCGCTCCAACCCCCGCCCGCCCGCGCGGTCCCCACCCGCCGCGTGCCTGCCCGCCCCGCCTGTGCGCGGCCCCGGCGCGGATTTGAAAAGCCCGGTCCGCGGGCCCCGCGAGCGCGGCAGCCAATCAGCGGCGCGCACTTTTCCCGCGGCTTCTGCGAGGCGGCGGCGGCCCCGGCGGCGGCGGCGGCGGGCGGGAGGCGCGGGGGCGGGGTCGGCGCCGCGCGCGAGAGCCTCGGCCTGGCCGCGCTGCGCCCGCCGCCGCCGCCGCCCCCTCCCCGCCCGGGCCCTCCCGCCGCACGGCCCTGGCCCCCTCCCAGCCCGCCGCTCCGGAGAGCCGCCCGCCGAGGATGCGACGCACTGCAGGTCACTAGGGCGCCCGCCCAACCGTCGCGGGCCGCCAACCGCCGGGGCTGGGACTGGGTGGCCGGGCCGTGGGAGGCCTGAGGGGCAGCGGGGAGGACCGCGGAGGCCTGAGGGGCCGGGAGCGCCGGCAGGACCGGGGGCACTGAGGAGGCCTGAGGGGCCGGCTCGGGGGCCGGGGGACCAGGAGGCCTGAGGGGGTTGTGGGGACCGCGAGGACTGCGGAGGCCTGAGGGCCGGCGGGAGGACGGGCGGACCGCGGAGGCCGGGCCGCGTCCGGGCAGGGGAGGGGCGGCGGCCTGCGGGCGGCGGCGGCTAACGGGGCCGGGCGGGCGGGCGGGCGCGGCCATGTTGGGCCCGGCCGGGCCCGGCGGCTGCACCTGTGCCCGGCCGGGCCGAGGCGGCCGCCTTTGTTCCCGCTGCGCGGAGCGGGTCGGGCCGGCCTTTGTGCTGCGCCCCGGGTCCGAGGCGGCCGCGGTGGGAGGGGCGGGTTGGGGTCCCCGGGCCGGCGCCGGGGCCAGGGGTCCGGCCGAGGGGCGCTTTTTGTTTGCAGGCGGTGTCCGGCGTTGACACTCGCGGCGCCCGGGCGTTGGTCAGCGCGGGCGCTCCCCGGGGGAGCCGGGCGGCGGTCCGGCCGGCCGTTGGCAGGTGGAGACGGGGGTGAGCCGGGCGAGGGGACCCTGCTGGGGGCTGTCGGCGCGCGCCGCGCCCTCGGCCTCCTGGCCTCCGCCTGGTATGTATGTTCCCCTCGCCCCAGGATGCAGATTGTTAGTCCTTCAAGCCTCGGGACAGGAGACGGACCTGGCGACCGAATGACTGGTTTTGCTCCACTTGCAGGAACCGTGCTTTAAAATCTCGGGGTTTAAAAAATGCTGGTCTTGAGTTTCTGTAGAAATAAAATGGATGAGGGTATCGTATAGGACCCATTGCAGCACGAATCTTTCTGTGCCCACAGTGGGCTTTGACATTCAAGTTGAAACACTAAAAACTGATGTGGTGGTGGTAATCATTTTTAGGTAGGTAATATGTATTTGTGTGTGTTTTTGTACGTACAGTACAGACCCTGTGAAGACATTTGGTAAAGTTCTAGACCTGGCTTAGGAGGAGCTCTTCAGTACTACCCACCTACTTCACAGACTTTCAAGCCTTGATTTTTAAATGAGTTAAAAGCCAAGATCACGCATTGATTATATTGACTCTAATTTATGTATTTTAAATATTATCAACATGGAAAATAACTTAGGAGCCATCCCATTTATGAACGTGGGACTTAAACTGTATAATTTTCCAAAAATGTTGTAAATGCCCTAGTTACATATTTAAATGCGACGAGAGCAACACTATTTTAAAAAGCAGAATGCCAGCAGCGTAAAGGAAGCAAGTTTCTGAGCACAGCCTTTCCTGGTGTACTTAATGTGTGCTCTCATTCCCCACAACTGATGATGGTTCAAATCTAAACTGCCAACTGGAGGTGAAGAGGACTCATGCTTTAAGCACGATTACTTTGAGTCATTTCCTTTTCTTTCCTTCCATTTTCTCAGCCACCCAGCAACCTTCAGTTTTGGGCTGATGGTTGGTAGAGTGTGGACTTACTGCACAATTTTGAGTTTATGTAAGCTTTTGTGAAGAACTCTGATCTCTTCAGTACAAAAATCGTTCCCTCCTGACTGCATTACTACCAAAGATTCTGGCCTCTGATTCCAACAGGAAACATTTAATTTTAAGAGTATGAGGTAATTAACTGAATTTGGAAGAATGATGGGCAGTTTATCTTATATATTCATATGTAACATGTAAACTGATAAAACTTGCGTAGACATAAAGAACAAAATGATAAGGTAAACAGGCTGTAGGTGTGACTTGGTTTGCTTTTATTCAATCAGCTTATACAGGGCTTTTAAACCAGTACCTGCTGAAATGTGGGAACCCAAACGAAGAATTAGTTGGAATCCCAGAATGAATCAGGAAAATAATCTGAAGAGGTAGAAGACTACCCACCCCTCCTAACCCTGTGGGGTTTAGGTGGGTACAGTCTTCTACCTCTTCAGATTATCTTCTTCTAAAAGTTATCAAATATTACAAAGTTTACTTACATGGCAGAATGTGAACTAATTAGTTACTTTTTTACAGTTTGAAGATTCAGTATAAAACATGTAAAAGTAGCTCGAATTAGTCTTACTAAGCTACAGGATTCTCTTTACCAAGTAAGAACTTAAATGAAAAAATGTGCTAAGATGGTGCTGAAGTTCATAATCCAAACATATTTTGTCCTGTGCTATTTTATTTATTTTTAGAGACAGGGTCTCTCTGTGTGACCCAGACTTGAGTGCAGTGGCTGTTTCAGAGGAGAGAAGTCATGGTGCACTTCAGTCCCAAACTCTTGGGCTCAAGTGATTCTCCTGCCTCAGTCTCCTGAGCAGTGGGGACTACAGGCACACGCAACCTTCCCTGGCTCTACCCTGTCCTTTTTAGCTGGGCAAGTGGGCAAATAACCTTTTTAAGTACTAAATACTTCACTTAATCAAAGGGAACAGAAGTCATAAGGCTTTGGTACTCATATATTCTGGTACAGATTTTTGGTTTTGCCTTTTTTTTTTTTTTTTTGGTGGGCTGCTCATGGCCATAGAATGCATACAACTTTGGATAAGCATCTTAGTCTTCTGAGCCTTGTCTCTTTTTTTTGCTTGATTGTAGTAAATGTGACCTTGTTCTCCAAATACATGGTACCATGTCCTAAGTCCAGGCCTTTGTGTGGGCTGTTCATGGGTGTGGACTGCCACTTGTCTTTCCTCTTTGAGCATAATTCATGGTGTTTTAATGGCCACATGTGACCTTTCTCTCCTGTTGGGTGAGCTCTTAGAGGTAGGACACTGTCATTGCCTTGGGCAGCGTTGCCTCTGCTGGTGCCTTCTCATGCAGAGAGTAAGCGCTGAATAAATGGGCATATGGCTTAGGGTAAACAGCCCATTTTAATGCTTGTATCTGGCCTGTTTGCCTCTCTGTTTTGTAAGTAATTGAGCAGAAAGGAACCCTCTGGGAGAAGAAGCTGAATCTAGAAAGGATATGGCTGGGCTGAGGTCCGTTTGAAACATTGCAAGTATATAAATACAGGTAATAGGACAGATCTCTACTCCTACCAAGATAGATCAAAGAAATTTATCTTGTTGATTTCTCTATCCTTGGTCAAGATAAAATATAACGTACACAGAATACAAAAGCAAGAGATGACACCGGAGCTTTAGAGGATTAGGCTCGTATTTACAAACTGTATGATTTGCTAGTTTCTTTTTTTTTTTTTTTTTGAGACAGAGTCTCACACTGTCACCAGGCTGGAGTGCAGCAGCATGATCTTGGCTTACTGCAACCTTTGCCTCCCGAGTTTAAGCGATTCTCCTGCCTCAACCTCTTGAGTAGCTGGGACTACAGGCGTGTGTCACCATGCCCAGCTAATTTTTCTATTTTTAGTGGAGGTGGGATTTCACCATGTTGGCCAGGATGGTCTTGCGTGATCTGCCCGCCTCGGCCTCCCAAAGTGCTGATATTACAAGTGTGAGCTTCTTTTTTAATGAATGGTTATTTACAGTGAGTACTTTGGGGGATAAAAAGACTTATGTTGGTTACACAGGGACTCTTTAGCATTTTGTATTTGTCTATTAGTTGTTGCAATATTGCTCTTTTCTTTTGAGACAGAGTCTCACCTGTTACCTGGGGTAGAGTGCAGTGGTGTAATCATAGCTCACTGTAATGTAGCACTCTGGGCTCAAGCTCTCCTCCCAGATCAGTCTCTGAAGTAGTTACGACTACAGGCAGATACCACCATGCTTGGCTAATTTAAAATTTTTTTATGGAGACAGTCTTGCCATGTTGAGGCTGGTGTCTGTAACTCCTGGCTTCAAGTGATCCTCCTGCCTTGTCCTCCTAAAGTGCTGGGATTACAAGTGTGAACCACTGTGCCCAGCCAAGTTGCAGTATAGCTTTTTACTTTTTTTTTTTTTTTTGAGACGGAGTTTTTCTGTCACCTAGGTTAGAGTGGAGTCATACAATCACAGCTCACTGCAGCCTTGACCACCTGGGCTCATTTGATCCTCCCACCTCAGCCTCTTGAGTAGCTGGGACAACAGGCGTGTGCCACCATGCCCAGCTAATTTTTGTGTTTATTTGTAGAGACAGGGTTTCACCATGTTGCCCAGGCTGGTCATGAACTCCTGGGCTCAAGTAATCCTCCCATTTCAGCCTTGCATCTGGCCTGCAGTATAGCTTTTGAAGGAATTGATTGATTTAATGAAATTTGGTTTGCTAGTTAAAAACTCAAAACAAAAAAAAAAAAAAAACAAAAAACTCAAGACAGATTTGAAATTAGTTTTGTTTTGGCATCTGCCTTCTTGAAACCAACTGGCCACAGGTGAGTTTTCAAAGCATCTTACTTTCTGTAATACTTAATAGTTTTAGCAAAATATACAAGGATAGAAATTACAGTGTTGGTTAGCTGAGTAATGGCCTCAGCTCAAAAACTCCAGTAGTGGTGCCAGACGCGGTGGCTCACGCCTGTAATCCCAGCACTTTGGGAGGCCGAGGCGGGTGGATCACGAGGTCCGGAGATCGAGACCATCCTGGTCAACAAGGTGAAACCCCGTCTCTACTAAAAATACAAAAAATTAGCTGGGCATGATGGCGTGCGCCTGTAATCCTAGCTACTCAGGAGGCTGAGGCAGGAGAATTGCCTGAACCCAGGAGGCGGGGGTTGCGGTGAGCCGAGACCGCGCCATTGCACTCCAGCCTGGGTAACAAGAGCGAAACTCCATCTCAAAAAACAACCAACCAACCAACCCCAAAAAACTCCAGTAGTGGCTAGGCACAATGGCTTATGCGTGTAATTGGAGCACTTTGGGAGGCTGAGGTGGGAGGATCACTTGAGGCCAGGAATTTGAGGCCAGCTTGGGCAACATAGGGAGACCCCATCTCTGTAAAAATTTTTAAAAAATTAGCTGGGCATGGTGGTGTGTGCCTATAGTCCCAGATACTTGGGAGGCTGAAGTGGGAGGATCTCTTGAGCCCAGGACTTTGAGGCTGCAGTGAGCTATCATCACACCACCACACTCTAACATGGGAGACAACGCAATCCTCTTTAAAAAAAAAAAAAAAAAACCCAAAACAAAACCCCAGTAGTCAGACTACCCTAGTGGATGTATAGAAAAAATACTTTTTTTCTGGAAGGAATTAGAATCTAAGTTTTTAAGTTGACTGGGTTGGCATTGAGAAAGTTGACGATGTGAATTAAATTTGTTATGCTGTTGGCTGGTGTGGTGTCTCACGCCTGTAATCCCAGCACTTTGGGAGACTGAGATGGGTAGATCATCTGAGGTTAGGAGTTCAAGAGCAGCCTGGGCAATGTGGTGAAACCCCATCTCTACTAAATATACAAAAATTAGACAGGTGTTTTGGTGGGCGCCTGTAATCCCGGCTTCTCGGGAGGCTGGGGCAAGAGAATCGCCTGAGCCTGGAAGGTGGAGGTTACAGTGAGCCGAGATTGCGCCACTGTACTCCAGCCTGGGTGATAGAGTGAGATGCTGTCTCAAAAAAAAAAGTTGTTATGCTGTTAGAGGGTCTGTGCATGTTAGCAGTGTTCTTACATTTTGTTGGTTTTCATATGTTTTTGCTGCTATATTATGGAGGCTAATGATCAGAAAGCATGTTTCCAACTCCAGTTTTACTGTTTTCAGTTAGTTCTTTACACACTACTTTGTCTTTCTAAAATACATATGTCCTATGCGTCCCCACTCTTCATGGGGTGACTCTCACTGCCCACTGGGGTTGAAGACCAGTTTCTCACTGGGCTTTCTGACTCTCATTGCACTTCTTATTTTGCCCTCATCTCAGTTACTCAGCTCATCTCTTTCTGCCATGTTTTTCCTCTGGGCCTTTGCATGGTCAATTTTTGTTCCTTTTTTCTGCCCCTGTGCCCCCTTACCCCATGTGTGTGCGGGCTAGGCATGCTTTTCCTCTTCCTTCCTTCTCCAGATCTCAGCTTGGGCCCCACACTGAATGCCATCTCTGACTCCCTGCTTGTTTTGGGGGGCCCTTGTGTTTTCCATCTTCACCCACTCCCGTTCTCATTTCATTCCAGCCACAGGGGCCCCTTGCCTCTGAAGCCCTGCAGCTCTGCTGCTTCCAACTATTGCCCTTGCTTCTCCTTTGACCTGGAATGCTGTCCCCAGGTATCTGTGCTCACCCTCCTTCAGGTCTTTGCGTATACTTCTTCTCAGGCACCTTCTGTGACCATGACCACTGATTTAAAGTACTCTGTTGTGACGGAGTACTATTACAGCTCATCTGTGATCCTGGTGCTTTGTGAGGCCAAGGCGAGAGGATCACTCCAGCCCAGAAGCTTGAGGTTGCGGGAAGCCATGATCATGCCACTGCATTCCAGACTGGGTGACAGTAGGACTCCGTCCCAAAAGAAAAAATTAAAAAAATTTATATACGTATACATATATAATACACACACACACACACACAC